CGGTACTATAGAACCTCTTAATTGTGCAAAGATCAAGAATTCTCAACAGCACCTTATCACTTGTACACCTAGGCGTCTTGAATTGGCTCAGAGCCGCCCCATTCCCTATAAAATGTTCCAGAATTTTCCGGAAGGTCCCTCTCTCCACAATACAAAGCTCCAGTGGTCCGATGGAGTTGGTCCTCCGTGAGACGACGTAGCCGTGGTCGGCGAACGACGCGTCCATCTCTCGGCAGCATTCCCCCAACACCGCCTCCTCCACCTCCCCCTTGATCTCCCAGTAGATGACATAGTGGCCCGGCTGGTTCACTACGTCAGCGCAGCTCGTAAAGTCCACCAGCTCGGCCCGGCCCAGCAGCTGGGCACCCCGCTCCACCACCAGCTGAAGGTCCTTCTCCGTGTTTTTGTCGATGTTTACTGTTAAAATTAGCTTTCTTCGGCATATGAAGTTCAATTTTGGGGTCCCTCGGTGGAATCCGGTGACTTCCACCACGTCACCTAATCGGTACCGGTACAACCCTGCAGGAAAATCAGTCTGAATTAGTTCACGCAAGTATAATCTTTGAGATGAGTCAAAATTATTATCCCAGAATTATTGACATATTTTATTTAAAATTTGTATCACAATTAGGTAATTGTTTTTTAATATTTTAAGACAAAAATCATTTTTTTCTTTATGCTTATAATAATTTTTTAACTTCAATTATATCGTAATTTTTTTATACTTTTAAAGATAAAATAAATAAAATAAAAATTATCTTTAAAATTTTAATTTGGAGATACAATTAAAAAAAAATTATTATTATGAAAGAATTAGTAGATTAGGGTATTACCTGTGAAAAGAAACTACACAAATGAAATCTAATCCTGCAAAGAAAAAAAAGGATTTTTTTTTTTTTAACAAAAACCTAATCAATCTATGGTGGCCGTATTACCCCATCCAGAATCTATCCTGCAGGGGAGACTTGAACAATGTTTTAAAATGGAAAATGAAGAATAATTTTTTATACAATTTTTTATATTTAATCTGATTTAATTGTCACATTTTTTATTTTAATAAAATATTAATTTTTAATATTTTAATTTTACTTTTATCTTAAAAAATAAAAATGAATTAAATTTTTTTGTTTAATTATTAGAATAAAAATGAAAATAAAATTTAA